GGGGGGGGGGGGCCTAGTCAAGGGTATTGTCCTATTCATACAAACCAAGGCCACATTAGTTCTCATGGCAGCCTCATTACTCTCATTTAGAATTTAGTCACCTGAAATCCTACGGGGTGCTTTCATGTGAACTACCGTTAACCCAGAAGGCACCTTTGAATTTCTGAAACCAAATAAATGCAGGTCTTTACATTTTTTTCCCTAATACATTTCCTTTTGTCAGTTTCAATGTATGATTCCAGGTTGCTTTAACTGCTAAAACATTATTCCTATTGAGCTAAAATTTGTCTTCCTGTTACCTCTGATTGTAGCCCAGAGGTCAGCTGTCCCACCAGCCTCCCATGACACAGTCCTGCATTTTCTCCCAGTAGATGTTTCCTAAGATAAATGTTCCCAGTCATGTAACTGTACCTCCCACCTCCTTCTAGGGGGATGCTGGTTTCAGATACAAGTTGGCTTAAGCAGTAAGAACAATCAGGGAGCTAAAGAAGACTCAGTGATTGTCTGGTCCATCTGACCCACTTTTTTTCCCCAATATATCTTTATTGATTTCAGAGAGAGGAAGGGAGAGAGAGAGAGAGAGAGAGAGAGTTGAAACATCAATGATGAGAGAGTCATTGATCAGCTGCCTCCCGCATACCCGCGACTGGGGATCGAGCCCACAACCTGGGCATGTGCCCAGACAGGAAATCGAACCGAGATCTCCTGGATCCTAGGTTGATGCTCAACCGCTGAGCCACGCCCGGCCAGGCCATCTGACCCATTTTATACAGAGGAAATCACAACAGATTGGGGGAGAAGAGCCACTCAGGTCAGTCAGCAGAAGTGGCATGACTAGAATCCATGTCCCTTCCCCTCCCTCACCTAAGGTCCTTTCTTTTTTACCATGGGCAAGTGACTTAAACTTTTTTTTTTTTATCCTCACGTGAGGATATGTTTTTATTGATTTGAGAGAGATAGAAAGGGAGGGGGAGAGAGATAGACAGACATGGATGTGAGAAATATCGATCTGTTTCTTTCCACATGCGCGCCAGCTGGGGATCAAACCCGAAACAAAGGCATATATCCTGACCAGGAGTCAAACCCACAACCTTTTGGGGTACAGGGCAATGCTCCAACCAACTGAACCACCTGGCCAGGGCCAGTTAAGCATTTTATTTCTTTTTTTCTTTTTCTTTTTAAAATATATCTTTATTGATTTCAGAGAGAGGAAAGGAGAGGGAGAGAGAGGTAGAAACATCAATGATGAGAGAGTCATTGATCGGCTGCAGCCCACAACCCGGGCATGTGCCCTGACCAGGAATCGAACCCTGATCGCCTGGATCCTAGGTCGATGCTTAACCGCTGAGCCACACCCGGCTGGGCAAGCATTTTTATCTCAGTTTCATCACCCATTTCATCTATAAAATGGAGTTGTTGTGAGGATTAAATGAGTTAATTCATATAGAGTATGTAGAACAGCCTGGCACTTGGTAAGGGTTTGCTAAATGTGAACTTTTATTATTATAACATGTTGCCTCCTGGTGCAGTAGAGAAGCAGCGGTTACTCTTCCTTCTGTTTAACAGGTAAAAACATAAAGGCACGTCAACTTTATAAGTTGTCCTTTATATATTAAGAGGAAGCTGTTTCCCCCATGGAGGGATACATATTTTTAGTAGATCTTCCAAAAGAACTTTGGTTGTAGCTTACCCCTCCCTCTGTGCTTCAGGCCCTCCGGAAGCTGCCTTCCTTATTCTCCTTTTCCTCTGCCTCTCTGAAATGGCAGGAGAAGGGGTAATGAACAGGCATGGGTTCAAATCAGTTTTACTATTTCCCAGATATGTGACCTTGACCTTGGACCAGTCTTACTTAATCTCTTTGGAATCTTAGTTTCTTCATCTGCAAAAGGGGAGATAAATACAATGGAATGTACTACAGTTAGAAAAGAATGAGGAAACTGTTTATATACTGATAAAAATAATCTCCAAAGTATAATAAAATGGGGGAAAAAATCAATGTGCAGAACAGTCTAAATACTACGCTACCAAACTTCAAAAGGGGATGGGGAGGAAAACATAAATCTTTTTGCTCATATATACATAAAAAAATCACTGTTGCATAAGAAACCATAATATAGGATGCCTATGGTGGGAGTAGAGTAAAGGTGGGGAGGTGAGAGAAGAGAACAAATAGGGTAGCTGGGGCCCAGCTAGGGTCCAGGAGATCAAGGTTCAATTGCGAGCTCAATGCCCAGTGAGGGCCATCCAGGAGGCAGCCGATCAATGATGACTCTCATCATTGATGTTTCTATCTCTCTCTCCCCCTCTCCCTTCCCCTCTTTGAAATCAATAAAAGATATATATATAAAAAATAGGGTGGCTGGGGATCAGTAGAGGAAGACATTTTACTATATGCATTGGTACCTTTGAATTTTGAACCATGTGACTATATGTTACCTACTCAAAAATTTTAATTAAAATTTGAAAAGTAAAAAATAAAAGAGGGAAGGAAATAATAAAGTCACCTCATAGCGATGTGGGGAAGTCTAAATTAAATAGTGTCCCTAGCAGTGTGCCTGGCACATAGTACATAAACATTTACTGTCTTTAGAAGTATCAGTTGTATCCACCAACCCCCATCTCCTTGAGTTAGCTACCCTGGGGTAGCCTGACCTTTTCTCACCCTGCAGGTTGATATATTGGCTGACCTTTGCCGTGGGCCGCTCTTTCCGAGGCTTTGGCTACGGCTTGACATTCCTGCCCCTGCTGTCCATGCTAGTGTGGAACCTCTATTACATGTTCCTGGTGGAGCCTGAGCGCATGTTCACTGCCACCGAGAGCCGCCTGGACTACCCCGACTACGCCCGCTCAGACTACAGGCCCCGCCCCTGGGGCTGAGCTGCTCTATCCTCTTGCCCCCAGCCTGGGTACCTCGGTGAGATGTACCCCACTTTTGACCCAACAGGGTCCCATCCAATTGGAGCTTGGGCTGCCCCTCCCACTCCCGCTGTCTCCCAGTCAGGGCTGCCCTTTACCTTCGAAGCCCAGGATAGTTATGAGGGAGGGAGGTAGAGCAGATGTTTTCTTGCAGGGAACGAGGTAGGCAGTCATGTTCTTTAAGGGTGCAGAGGGCATGGGGCCAGGACCAGGAGAAGCATGGTTCCTTCCTGAGCAGCCACCCACCACTGCTGGACTCTGCTGGACTCTCCAGCCTCCTGTGAGGCAGTGGGGCAGAGCCACAGCAAAAACTCTGGCCATTTCTGTGCCAGTTGTCTAAGCCGAGGGCCTCAAGGAGACTGGAAATATTGTTCATGCCTAAAGATAAAGGCTTGGCATCAAATAGGACTTTCACGTTGGGCAAAACTGTCCTGGGGGCCTGGGTTGAGGACCCTCCATGACTGACCCTCACAAGCCCTTTAGCCTCAGTCAAGACTATTACAACTGCCCCAGCACAGAGCTGCTGCCTCCTCCCTTCTGACCAATTAGGCCCCTGTAACTTCCCACCTCCAACCTGCCCAGAAGAGAGAAGTGGACAGGGAAACCTGCCTCCCAAGAGGTGTGTGTGTGTGTGTGTGTGTGTGTGTGNTGGACAGGGAAACCTGCCTCCCAAGAGGTGTGTGTGTGTGTGTATGTGTGTGTGTACGTCCATCCATGTTCACGTATGTGGCAGCTGGGGAGTGGTTGGAAGATACAATGGCTGCTGTTAACCCCATGTGAATATGTGTGTGTGGGGTTGGACAGGTATAACAATAAATGACTACTACAGTCTTACTTGGTTCTTTCTTTCTGTTTGTACCCTAGTCTCAAGTGTCCCTTTCTTGTTTGATTCATACTGCACCTGAAGCCTCCCTGCTTCACATGACGGAGAATGGCTAGCAGGAACTCTGGTCTCATGTCAAGAGACAGAACCAGACCTGGGAAATATGGGGCCATTCACAGAAAGCTGCCTTCCATGCACATCTCTTAGCCCTCTCATTCCTTGAACCAAGCCAACAATACTCGCATACAGAGAGACAAGCCCTGTGGAAAAAATAAGTCTATTTCATGCCCGCAAGGCAGCAACCAGTCAGAAAGCCTTTCATTTCGGCCTCTGAATCCCATCCAAGAAATGAGGGCTGGAGGGGTGGGGAGGCTCCAAGGGCACCCTCCCTCTAGCAGTAACTCTTGTCCCGGTCCCTCTCCAAAGTATGAAGGAAGCCCCACCTGGTGGTTCCCAGGAGTTGAGGTTCTGCAGAAAAGCAAGATGGGAGAAAGGAGTAACTGGATGGGAACATTGACCCTCAAACTCGCAGAGGTTTCAGGCACAGCATGGCAGGTCCAGTAATGTCGTTCCATCTGGAGAGTGAGCCTCAATTCATGGACTGGTACTCTGAGTACCTCTTGGGGCCCAGCAACAGAAACAGGCCTCCTGCCAGCAGCATGAACACTGGAGCACCCAGGGCCACCGCCATGATGCCTAGGACTAGTGGGGACAAGGCATCCACAGGAGGGGTACCCACACCAAGGAGCATCGACCTAGAGCAAGCAGAGTGAGAAAGAGAGGTAACCACACTTAGGACAGAGAAGCCCAGTCCTCCTCTACTTCAACCTCTCAAACCCTTGGCCCACAACCCGACTCACCAGCTGAGGTAGTGTTGGTCCCAGTAGCCAGGGCCTGTAGAAGCCCCAAATGTCAGATTGAAGGCACAGAAGTTGTTCTGGGACCCAAAGAAGGCTCGGACAATGGGTGACTGGGGGAGAAGGTATGCCAAGGTGGGATGAAGAGGGGAAGCTTGGCAGGGAAGGGCTGATTCTCGGCTCCCCTGCTTCTGGGAGAAAGCCACTGGTCGCCACTGCACAAAGCCTGATGGGAGAGAGCCCCAGAGCAGCTGGTCCAACTGTGGAGAAAGGCAGACAATGCAGGGTGAGGAGAACCAACCTGTGCCTGACCCTTCTGTTACCCCCACGCTTTCTCAGACTTCATCTGTCACTAGTCGTCCTGAGACCTAGGCCTGGTTCTAGAACTCACAGGCTGTTTGCACTGGGACTTCAATATTTCCTCTGTAGAGAGGGGAGCTGGATTGGATGCACACTAGGTGCTTTTCCACCCTGGCTCTTTGCACGTCTGCACTTAGCTCCCTCCTCTGGGTCCCTAGGCCCTTGCACATCCTACTTGCCAGAGCACTGAGTCACACTGCACTGTCTTCTGCCTTCCTTCTGTCTTCCCCTGAAGGCAGAGACGGGGCCAAACTTATTAGCATGGTGCCCAGCACTTAAAGGAGTTGAATAAAGTGTTGCTAAATAGTAAATGGTTGAATGATTGTCTGAGGTACTAATTGGGGTTCCATCTACATTCCCCCACTTATCTGTCTCTCTGCTGGAAGCCTGACCTGGAAGACGGCAGGTGCATATTCATCGTCGATGGAGTGCTGCTCCTGCATTGAGGGGCAGTCAGGGCCCTGGCTCAAGGTGGCTACCTCCAGCCCAAAAAGGGAGCGGTTTCCTCGGGGAGAGGCCCCAACCAGGGCCACCTCTAGCTGGCAGGTGTCCATCGTGTGCAGGAGGCGAGGTGGTTGGGCTGGTCGGCCGGATCTGGAGAAGGCCTGCACCTAGGATGGAGGAGGCATGGGGGGGCGTGGGAAGCAAATGGATGCCTGTACTTGAAGGCCACCCCCATCATTAACTCCCACCCTCATAAACCAGCCTTTTGAGTCCTGATTCCCATACTCTTACCCTGAAGGCCAGGCTGCCATTGGCAAAAGCCCCAGTGGCATCATGACTGGGGTGGCCTCGAAATGTGGCACTCAGGGTGGCAGGATCCAGTGAGTCAGTGATGTTGTTCCAGGAGAACTCACCCAAGGAGTATGGGGGATACGGTTTTCCTGGAGGCTTTGCTGCCGCATCAGATGTGTTGGTACAGTCAAACTCGAACAGCTGGTGGGTGGGGTGGGATGGGACTGGGCTTGCCTGAGTCCAGTTTTCTCCTGAATCACCGCCGCCCCCACCACTCACTAGATCCCAGGCCCAGGCTCTTATACCTGACTCTACTTCACCCACCCAGTATTCAGTTTCTTTTTCTAACTTGATGAACCCTCTCCTCTTTCCCTTGGTTCTCCCCCAACCTCCTCACCCTGGTAAAGACAAGGGCAGAAGAAAACTGGATGCTGTCCTTGGGGAGCACCATCAGGCCCCCATTAGGCTCAGGAGACAGCAAACGGCTCCAGTTGACACTCAGGACGCTGTGGGGGGTATTGGTAGCCACCAGCAGTACTGCTGGAGGCCCGAGGCTGCTCCACACATAGTGCAACGTGGAATTGGTGCCCACTGCCCGGATATGCAGCAGGTTCTGGGGGGTGCCCATTGAGTCATGGATGACCTCCAGAGATACCTGGAACATGGAGTAGGGGTAGGTCAAGAGAACGGGATTAGGGAAAGACACAAGACAAAGGAGAAGGTTGGAGGTAGAGTCAGGGGACTTGGGCAATGCCGGGGACAGGGTGGGGCCTAGACAAGAGTTTGTGTGGGAGCTAAGGGAATCTTGGTGTAAGAGCAGAGGTAGAGTGAAGAGCCAGAACTGCCCTGACCCTGGTTAAAAGATCAAGGCATAGAGCTAAGAGGAGGAAAAAAAAATTAACATTGCCTGGACCTGTGTCACTCAGGGCTAAGTCAGGAAGCCCTCATACTCGCCCGGCCCCACGGCTGCCCCCGCCCCCAAGTTGAATAATTCTTCTTTATGCAAGACCCCTCCACCCTCCACTCCCTGGTTGGCCTAGATTCCAACCGCCCTTCAAGGGTAGCATTTCCTGAAACCTCTACTGCTCTAGCCCCTCACCTGGCGGGTCTCCTCCCCCAGCAGGCCAAATGGAACTACAAACAGAAGACTCAGGAGGAGAATGGGGCTGGGGGCACAGCGCCCCCAACCCCAGCGGGGTTCCTCACAGCTGCACATGCAGCTCAGCTTCGGACTGCGGAAGAGACACCTGAGTCATGTGACTTACAGGCTCAGCTGATCTCTTTTAAAGGGAGGAGCCATCACACCAGTTCTTAAAGAGACCGCCTCACTTAACCCAGCTTTAGGCTTGAGTGAGAAGAGTCAGAATGGTTAGAGATTTGTCATCCCTGGCTGGGCTGGCAAGAAAGACGTCCCAGACTAGATAGGTGGACATATTCCCGACTCTCCTACCCAGCTGGTCCCACTGAACAGTTAGTTACCTCTAAGTGGGCACGATGTCTAGATTCAAGATCCAAATGAGATCCCCCAAAATAACTCTGGTAGGGAAGGCGCAGAGAGGAACTTGAAGGAATTCTGGGGGGGACACAGCACACTCTAGAAGTTTCTTTTTGTCATTATTATTTATTGATCCCCCAGGTGGAAATGAAGAAAAAAGATAACTGAACATAGGATATGAGAACAAAACGTTGTCATGTCTGGCTGAATGAATGCACTTTGCGTTGTACTTGGGTGCTGTTGTTCTTTTTTCTTAATCCTAAAGTTATTTTCACTAATAAATGCATATGGCACAAAATTCTCGAGGTACCAAGGGTATCACCCCTATTCCCTAGCAACTTGGTTCCTTTCCTGAAACAACCATTACCAGTTTGTGTCCGTCCCAAGATATTCTATGCATACTCAAAATATGTAATACATGTTATATACATATCTGTAAAATACCATAAAATGGCATCCACTGTTCTCAGTTTGCTTTTTCACTTGTACATTGAACACTGTTCTGTATCGGTGCACATGAACAGTCTCACTTTCCAATGTAAGCATTTCATTGCGGGGGGATGTTCCATGGTATATTTAGCCAGAACCTTCAGTTCCAACATTTCGCTATGGTAAACAATGCTGAAAGGAATGTCCCTGTACACACAGCATTTCATATATATGTTTTTTTAATGTTAAAAAAATTTATTTGAGAGAAACATCAATTTATTCCACTTATTTATGCATTCATCGGATGATTTTTGTACGTGCCCTAATAGGAAATCAAACCCACAACCTTGGCATTTTGGGATGATGCTCTAACCAACTGAGCTACTTGGCCAGGGCCACATTTCATATATATTTGTAACCAAGTCCATAGGATAAATACCCAGGAGCGGAACTGCCGGGTCAAACTGCCCCATGAGACATCAATTGCTGCTCATACCACGTGTAGAAGGCCCATTTCCCCACACCCTTGCAAGTGTTTATCACACTTAATTTGCATTTTCCTAAAAATAAGGTTAAGCATCTCATATTTTACAGTAACTTGTTTTTCTGGAGCTATTTACATGTCTTGCATATATATATATGTATATATATATGTGATTTTTAAAAA